TACATATAAAACAATGCCCAGGGGAAAAGGAGCGACTAAACAGTAAACTTCCACAAGAACAACAAAACAACAACAACACCCGATGACCAACTTGAATAAAAACAGCTGAGCATGGTCGCTTGTTGGTTCAGAAATCTTCCCAAAGTTGTGGTCATTTTTTAAAAAAAATAATAATAATAGTTTTGAATGAAATCGTGCGAATCTAAATTATGGTCAGTGCGAGTTCCAGTTTAGTCTAGCTGGCCACAGTCTATCGGGGCTGTGAGCTGGCAAACTGACGATACGTCTGCTACCACCGCTATCGTGTTCGCCGGTCCCTTTCCTCTGACCGTTGTTTACGTTATCAAACGAATAAGTAGAATTTACCTTTTCAGCACAGGTCGGAAGTCAAACTAACACAGGTGGTTGTCAAAACTATCGTGAAAATCCTTGCATGATACGATGTTGTTGACAATCAGGCTAACAGGAGAATGGATGAAAGAGACCAAGTGTCCCAGAAGACTACGAGTTTGTCACAGTGGAAGCCATTTTGGCGTTGAGTAACTAAGCTCGATGATATTGATATGCAAATGAGGTGTTTATAGTACGAGGCCCGACATTGGTGAAAACATTGAAAATTTGCACTTTTCAAACTTTTTTGACCCAGGAACTGGAGACACTGTTTTTATTTGTTTATAAACTTAATATTTATCAACCTGATTTTATATCATGATATCATTAATAAGGTTGATGGTTTACTGTTAGTGTGTCGTTCTACAATCTGTCGAAAAAGTTCTAAAATTTCCTATATTTTTTATAGCTTTGATTGATATAAAACTTCTTGTGCAAACCATTAAATATATTATTATGTGTAAATATACAACAGTTGAATGACAAGATAATTACGTTATTGACTACGACCTCTGCAAGAGACGACGTTTAATGATTACTTCCCTCTAGTGATACACTATGGATATTCTTTTGTTTTCACGCATCGCATGATTTGTTTTACCTCTAAAATATGCGAGAGAAATAGTAGTGTCTTCGGTTTTATGTACATGATTTCAATGCTATCTTGCTTTATATATTACAGTATCTCTTGACCTACCAAGGAGTTTGTTGAAAATTAAATTTGGTGAAAACTGCAAAAATTATTTCATTTTGTATTTGATACCATGCAAATGAGACAATTTCTATACATAGATTTATTGCATCATATTGTTTTCCTTTTCAGGTTTGTTGGTAATTTCTAATAGAATGTCACAGTCCATTCAGTACTTTAATATATAACAAATGAAATGTCAGTATTTACATGCTTGTTTTTGTGGGATAGTCACATCAAATTATGGGAGCAGAAACACTTTATGATTGGCGAGGTTGTTTGATTTGATCATAACTGTCCCACAATACACTATGATTTGGAATTGTGATTGTATTGAGGCACAAATCAACTGTTGTTGATATGCTAGAACAAAATTGTCTCTAAACCAAGGTTCCACCTATATATATGGATAGTTTTTAGGGTATTTTGGGGTCTAATATGTATCTGAACAAAAAAAAATCTTTTTTTTTTTTTATTAACCATGTACCAAGTTTGGGGTAAATCGGTCCATGAACTTCTGATATAATGTGACGGACGGACGGACGGACGAACTGCTAAATGTTAAAATAGTGAAGACACTGACAGTTTCTCTAATTATGACAAAAGTAAGAATTTTATAAAACTTGGACAGCTTTATTAACTTAAATAACAAGCGGGCACTCACAAACAGAGCTGTTTTGAATACAATGAAACATTGTATTAGCCTAATTATTGATTAGCCTAGTCGTTACAAATTAATGAGATGCTGAAGTGAATGACCCCTTAATCACATCTCCCAACATGACTGCCTGAGGGCATTTGGGACCTGTTAACTCATTTTTCCTTGCGATCCTGTACTGCCGTACTGTATACTTTGCAGTATTCTCTGATAACCATATTATATATCTTTTTCTGCTTGTAGTTATAATAATGCGAACACAGCTTGAATTGACAACAAAAAATCGTTGCGTTTATTTCTGACACATGCTTCTGCGCATGATGTAAACGGAAGGGTATTCACATGCGACTTCAGTGATTTTGAACATTAATGTGTTAATGTTGGTAGTACAGTTTTACTCCAAATAAAGGGAAATTCAAACAAATGCAGATGTATTTTAAATGTAAAATATTGTTTATTATCAGAAAACCTTTCATCAGGCACATCCACCACATTTACCATACTCTTAAAAGTCTTTGCAATAAGCTGTATTGTGTACACTTTGAAAGCATAGAATATACTATTTGTCAGTCAAACACAGATCTTTAATTCAATGAGCGTGCATGTATAAATCACATTAATATAATACTTTGGTTGGCAAGACAACCAAACAAAGTACTAGTGCGACATGGGCTGATATCATTCCGAACATTTTTTCCCCAAGACAATTTCATTAAATTTTAGCGAGTTTCCATCATAATATTTTTGCATTATATTCAATGAAATGTCTCTCCCATCACGCATTGCACACATATTCAGTGATACTCTTACCTGTTCAAAATTGTAATCTTTCCCATTATGCATTGCAAATATGTTTAGTATCATTCTGTCGTACAAAATGTTAATCTCATACAATGCATTGCACATATACCTAGTACTACAAAATGTGAATTTGGATCAAACTTGTGATGACAATTTTCAAATATATTTTCCAATATTCTATACCGGTGAATTGCCATCACTCTACCCCTTCTTCTAAAATCAACAAACATTTGTAGACTTTAAAATCATCATAGTTTTGAATTAAAATAATCCATTATCCCATCCCTGCAAATTTCTATTGTATAATTTTTAAATGTGGAAATACTGTTTTATTAACCAACATCTCTGTATTCAACTAATAATTTGTCAGCCTTTAGTTCAGTGTCAAAGAGCCTGTACAATTCAGTCATTGTGATCTATAGCACAAACCCATTGACTGTTATTCCATTTAATTTAAATAAAACTTCATTCATCGCACCATCATGGTGATTTCAATGTATTGTCTGTGGCAACTATATGCAATATCTCTGAGGTTTGTTTGTTTGGTGCTATGTACAGTCCTTTTCTCACACCATAGAAGTATCGAAGTCTATGCCAAGAGCCTTTGCACATTGTTTGAAGTCTTGTATCATATGCGCTTGCTGCAGACATGGAAAATTCAAACTGCTTCCTGTCAAAACAAAAAAACAGGTATTAGTGGCGATAATTCATTTCCCACTTAATAAATTTGTTTGTTAATATACAAGTTACAAACCAGGCAACTTTCTAAATGTACATGTACCAGTACTTTTGTTAAGGCAGTATTAGAATTTTGCACTATTGAGCATGTTATTGCACATATCGGTATATGAAATGCATTATGGGAGAGAACAACCCATGCAGAACTAATCCTACCAGAAACGTGCAGTTAAATGTTAAAATTTATTTTTTAGTTTTTTTTAAATATTTGAATTTAAATCAATAATAACATACGACTTCTTCATCCCGTGTCACTGAGCAAATTTTCAAGACATGAAGAAATAATAATAATAATAATAATAATAACAATAGAAATCAGTGTCAATCAGTTTTCCATGACATTTTGGGCTCATGTTTCTTGAAAAATTGTCTGGTGATCCTAATTTTTTTTTTTTCGGTTTTGGTATCATTTAATGATCCCATAATAATAAAATTTTGATGAAATGTCTTTAAATTAACCTCTGATTATGTAACATTATATTGCACTTTCTATTTTTTTTAAGCCGTTCCACATAAAGGGTTTTAAATAAATTAACGACATAAAAAATGTCATCTTGTTCAAGTTCTCTCTCACTCCAATTTCAAAGATTATTAACTGGTAAGATAATAGTTACTGTTAGTTACTAGTTACTAATAGTAAATACTAAGGTTTATGGTAACTTAATCTTCTAAACAAATATTAATTCAAAAAGTGCACAATCGTATTCTCCTACATCCTAACTTTCAAAAAATATACATATTGCCATTGGTTACATTGCTTAGTAACTGGTGGTAAATGCCCTAATCGCAAAACTATTTCTCATTTTTTTCCCATCTTGCTACTTTAAGACATGTTTCATTGTACTATGTGAACTCTATACTAAAAACTTGGTTGTGAAAAAGTATTTAAACTTGCTTTTCTAAATAGTATATCAATCTGTATACAAGTCATTGAAAATGACACAGTCCCCGTTAAGTTCTCTTTGTGCTCGTCATATTAAAGCGGAGGGGTTGTCGCGAGCGTGTCCTTGAAACTTGAGTTCCAAGTGGCGTATACAACAGATTGTTTTATTTACATCAAAACACGTGTTTGTGTCATAGTAATATGGCCAAAATAAAAACAGTCGTTATTCAGCCATCTTTGATCTGATTATGAAACACACTGATATGTATGATGTATGTGCCAAATACGAATGAAAATGGTACATAAATTGTGGAAATATAGTAGTAAGGCCAAAAAGTCAGATGGCTGTCAATCAGGCCATCCTTGACCAGATTTTGAAACAAATTGTCATGGACATGCATCCTAACATGTATAAAGTACATGTATGTGCCAAATTTGAATGAAAACTGACAGAACACGTCCAAGATACCGCATAAAAAAACAAAAACAAGATGCCTGCCAGTCGACCATCTTTGATCCAATTGCGAAATAAATCG